GATTAAAATGTGTAATTATTATTATATAGTTATATAATTAAAAGTTTGTTATTGTGATTAAATTTGTGTGACAAAAACAAAATTGTCACAGATCTACATCACGTGACTAAAAACCGAGCACAGATTATAATATCGCGCTCTACATCATATCTTGGTACTACACGACGTTTATCAGATACTATTTCGTTGTTTTTAACAACAGCAGAAAGGTAAAGTATTTCGTTTTCATCTAACTCAAATTTACTACAACGATTTGCAAATTTACACTTCGCCGATGGATCATGGATAGTTTCAGGTATTTTTTTCGATTTGACCTTTAGTATCTCCAAAATACTACTCATTTATTAACAAATATTATAGAATTACTATAGTTTATTTTATTTAAAATATATTATAATATACTAATTGTACAAACTATATATGCAGTACACAAACTTTTTATTAACTTATTTAATTCTTAGTTAATTTGTATAACATACTCTAGAATATCTATTAATATACTAATTCAATATTATTAAAAACTACACTATATTAAAATATATACAAACAAAGCAAAAATCTATCTATAGAATAATTTACTAACTACACCAATATATATTTCTTCTAATAGCAACATTTACTATACAAGATAAACAAAACAATATCAGGATATATTTTCAAATAGTTTTTTATATTGCACAATATATTTCAAAATTTAGCAACACCATATATCCTATCTTTTAATCCAAACATATTCACAACAAATAATATAGTATCTATTTATGAATTATAGATATCTAGTAAACACAACAATCAAACTATAATAAACTATCAATAATATATAAAAATTAATTACAGATTATATACTAGCTATTACTCTCATTAACTACAAGTACTGCTAATCAAATATAAAGCTTGTACTTATATATCAGCTACTGTATAAATATATATCAATATTGTACTACCCAGTTATTACTATTAAGATAACTAGTACAAAACAACTCTGTATAAATATTAATAATTTATTACAACATTACTCTAAGCTTAATCTATCTAGATCAAAATCTACATATTAGCTAACTAAGAACAATATAGCATATATTCTAACTACTTCTAATAATTTACTAAATTGACTATTTGTAGTAGATACTGCTTTATCTTATCTTTATTATCTTAGTCAAATCAACTCTCAAACAAAAACCTATAGCTATATCTATATATTAATACAACAAACTCAAATACTATGAATAATCAAACAAATTTTGTCTAGGCCCTTCTCTAACTAATATCTTTTTTTACTATAATAATATACTGGCTATCTACTACCAGAGCATACCTAATCAGTTATATCAATTTTTTTAATTGCTTTACAGAATAGTAAAATAATTATATATGCTTCT